GGCCATCCTTACTGGTGTGAGGTGATACCTCATTGTGGTTTTAATTTGCATTTCTCTGATGATTAGTGTCATGTGGAGCATCTTTTCGTATGCCTGTTGGCCATCTGAATTTCTTCTTTGGAGAACTGTCTGTTCAGCTCCTCTGCCCCATTTTTTAATTGGCTTATTTCCTTTTTGTTTGTTGAGGTGTGTGAGTTCTTTATATAATTTGGATGTCAACCCTTTATTGGATATGTCATTTATGAATATATTCTCCCATTATGTAGGATGTCTTTTTGTTCTACTGATGGTGTCCTTTTGCTGTAAAGAAGCTTTTTAGTTTGATATAGTCCCACTTATTCATTTTTGCTTTTGTTTCCCTTGCCTGGGGAGATATGTTCATGAAGAAGTTGCTCATGATTGTTTCAGCACCTTGATGTGCTGACCCCTTTATCCTGATGTAATGTCCTGCTTTGTCTTCTGTTACCATTTTTGCTTGCAGTCTATCTTGTCTGATAGACGTATGGCTATGCCGCCTTCCTTTGGCTTCCATTTGCTTGAAATGCTGTCTTCCATACTTGTTCTTTGAGCCTCTATGTATCTTCATGGCTGCAATACATCTCGTTGAACAGCATTTAGTTGGGTCTTGCTTTTATCCATCCAGCCATCCTGTGCTTTTTGACTAGTGAGTTCAATCCACATTTAGGGTGATGGTTGATCTGCAAGGATTTACTGTTGCCTTCTAGTTGTTTTGTCCCTCCATTTCTCTACCATCCTGTTTTTGTCTACCTTTGTAAGCTGGTGGCTTTCCATGGTGATTTGCCCAGTTTCCCTTATTTTTTCTTTTTTTAATATTTCCTGTCTCTGTTCTAGATTTTTACTTTGTCATTACCATGAGATTTACATAAGATGTATAATAGACAAATTAGTTCTTTTTCTGCTGATAGCAATTTATCTTCATTTACCTACAAAGGTTTTATCTTTTATTCTTCCCCTTTTATATTTTTGATGTCACAGGTTAGCAATTTTGTGCTGTGATTTCGTTACCAAGTTGTAGAAGCTGCATTATTTTTAATGTTCTTTTCTTTTAGTCTTTATGTTTGTTTAATATGCTATCCTAAAAGAGTTAATTATTTTCTAGTTCTGTCTTTCACCTTAGAGTTTTATGTACTTTTATCTTTTCATTTCAGCTTGAAGAGTTCCTTTTAACATTTCTTGTGAGGCTCGTCTGATTCCCTCAACTTCTGTCTGGGAAGGCTTTTATTTCTCTTTCATATCTGAAGGATTACAGCCAAATAGCATATTTTTGACTGGCGGTTTTTATCTTTCAGTACTGTGAATATGTCATTTCATCCACTCCTGGCCTATAGTTTCTACAGAGAGATCTGACAGCCTAATGGGGATCCTGTGTAGGTTACAGTCTTCTTTCCCCTGGTGCCTTTAACATTCCTTATTGTTGACTTTCGACAGTGGTAATATGTGTGTTAGACCGGGCCTTTTCGCTTTGAGATAATAAGGTGGCTTCGGGACTCACATGTCCAGTTCCTTCCCCACGTCTGGGAAGTTCTCAGTTGTTATTTTTTCAGGTAAGTCATCTGCTCCCTTCTCCATCTCTTTGCCTTCAGGGTTGCCCACTGATTCTGTAATGGCATCCTCAAGCTTGCCTAAATTCCTCTCCTCAAGCTTGCCTACTTTCTCTTCCATCTCCTCTGCTCAATTTCCAGTGCTCTTTAATGCGTTCATCTCATTTACTAAGCATTTCAACGCCACAGTTGCGGCTTCTTAGAATGTCAGTCTCTTTGTTACTCTCCGTGTTCTTAGTTTTATTCCCAGTATCATTGCATTGCCTGAGTTTTCTTGCCACTTGGTGAATGTCTTCCTAACAGCTATCCCGAATTCTTACCAGTTAGAGTGTAGTGGTCCATGTTTTTGGGTCCATTGCGGGAAGCTGTCATTCTCCTCTTGTGACACCGTATTTCTGTAGCTTTTCACAGCGTTTGGTGCCTCTGCTGTCACCTTACGTAGGTGAGGCTTTCTTTCCTTTGACCTGCTAGCAGTTAGGAGCCTTCCTTTTGTTCCCAGAAGGTGGTGCCATAGCACAGGTTTTGGTTTCGCGTAGAGCGGATTCCCCACTAAGTGGGCGGTCGGGGGGCACGTGCAAAAAAACATGCAGGCGGAGGAGACGAGGGTGTGGCAGAGTAGCGGTGTGGGCCTAGCATGGGGGCCTCTTGCTGTGCCCACTGCCCGGGAGGGAGGTCCTTGTGTCGGGCCCCCCGGTCTGCGGGCACTGTTCTTGCAGCAGCCCTGGGGCAGAGGGCAGGACCTACGTTCCTCCAGTTCTTCAGTTCTGGGCTCCCCTCCTCCCTCCTTCCCTGCCCCAGTCCTTGTGGTCCACCCTCGGAGCAGCTGGGGGCTGGGCGTGCACTGCCTGCACCCTCTGACCCTCTGGGAGGCCACACCACGTGGCCACCGAGCACACAGGTGGGAGAGTGTCCCAGGGGAGCTTGCCAGAGGTGCTTTTGTCAGGGACACCTGGTTATGGATGTCCAGTTAGTCGCAAATTGAAGGGGAGAGAAAGAAGCGGTTGATCATGCTGCCATGAATTGGACGTCACATCACCTGAAAATGTTCTAACGAAGTTTTCATAGGATTCATGGAATATGTTTGAAAACCTTGGAAATGGCTATTGTTTTTATCTAGAAATGTTTTACCAGGTAATCTATGCACCACCTGGGTAGTGCTGTGTGTCTTGGTGTCTCTACCCAAACGACAGCTCCCAAAGCCAGTGCCTCTCATCATATCCTTTGGCTAAACTTACATGACTTCCCTGGTATCTTCAGGCAAATGCATAAGAATTATTTACAAATAACTGTGAGAAGCAAACAAGGGAGTAGTAGGCTAAGTACCTGACTGAATTGGTAACTCTGTTTCCTGGTTAATATAGTTGCTGTAACATGTATTTTATGGTCATGAACACTAAGCCCACCCTGTTTTGTACATCTTTTACAGTGACACTAAAACGTCATTTTGAAGCTATCTGCAGTGCTTTACTGTTGAATTTTTCTCAAATGGCCTTTTTATGTGTTTGTGCATGTACAGGAACTATCAAAGAACCTTGAGCTGAGTACTAACAGTTTTCAACGACAGTTGCTTGCTGAAAGGAAAAGGGCATATGAGGCTCATGATGAAAATAAAGTTCTTCAAAAGGAGCTGCAGCAACTCTATCACAAATTAAAGGTATACATGTTATTTTTAAATTGCATTATTTCTTCCTATAACATATATTAGATGAAAACCTAACATTTTAAACACTGTCACCATTCATATTTGTAGTTGGTACAATATTATTTATAGAGTATTGCTGTTCTTTGGCACTTAGAAAGGAGCGTTAATATAGTCGCTGTAACATGCCAGAAATGAAAGTTTGACCACACTAATAGGAGTGATACAACTGAAATAAGTATTAAAATCCTGAAGACAGTTATGGAAACTGCAGTTTCTCTGTGTTGCACATTTGAATTAGCCAGTGTTCTTCCTCAGATAACCCCTTTACTTATTATTTCTAATGTTGTTTCAGATATTGCCCTTCATTTTCACAGTGCTTAACAGAACCATTAACATTATTTAATTTTGTTAAAACAGGTGTTCTTAATTCTCTCCAGAGGTCATTGATGGGTTGAATTTCATACAAAATTGAGTGTTTATGCATTATGTTGTATAGAATTTTTATTTTGCTAATCAGATTTTCAGAGAAAACCATAGCCCCAAAATGATCAAGAACACTTCTGTTTTAAGAAATGATGCATTTTTTACTTGTCATTGATTCAGAACCCCCATTTGAGAGATGCTAACTGAGTTCTCCATCTCCCAGGCTAAGCCTGGGAGACAGTATAAGATAGTACCTGCTCTGTCAGGTAGGTTTGGGTAGAAAATGGATTTTGCCTCATTTGCTTTCATTCTCTTCACTGCCAGCACAGACTGAACTTTTTAGGGAGTGTCATTGCGGGGCCCACCCGAAATGTCCTTGACATTCCTCTCCATAGTCTGTCAGTTATGAAGGGCAGCTGAACTATGGCATACTATATCCCAGTTTGCTAAGGGAAGAAGTGCCAGCTGACAGGGTGAGGGTTTTGTCTTGTTTTAAACTGAGACTCTACATCCTTAATTGTGGGTTTGTTTTCAGGAAAAGGAGAGAGAACTGGATATAAAAAACATATATTCTAATCGTCTGCCAAAGTCCTCTCCAAAGAAAGAAAAAGAACTTGTATCAAGAAAAAATGGTATAATAGCTATTATTGTTTAAAAATTTATTGTAGCTATTACTTATTAATAATAAATAAGTCTAAAGTATTTGGTAAATATAAAGGGGAAAGAACTTCATTGAAATAAATAATAAATGAACAAATACTTCCTTATAGTTAATTTTTAGAAATCCTTTCAACTATCTCAGTTTTTTCCCCTGAGGTCATTAAAATTACATCTTACATAATTAAATTTTTTTCTTATAATTTATTTTTGAATTATTAATGAAAAAAATTTAAGCATACCCCAAACTAGAAATTACAGTATAATGAACTTTCATTTATACATCACCTAGCTTTAACAATTATACACTTTACTAATTTTTTCCATCTATTTTTGTATACTTCTTTTCCTAGAGTATGTAAGGTAAATACCAGTTGTCATTTCATTTCACACATACTTCAGTATTGTTATGCATATCTTTACTTTTTTAAGAAACAAAAGCATATATTTCCCTCTTCTGTGAATTTCAAAAAGCTAAATCCATAAACTTTGTAAAAGCTTAATAGAATTTACTAGTCAGAATTGTCCTCAAATTACATGATCGCCAGTAAATCTTAGAAACAAAAATAGTAATAGACAGTAGTCATGGAGCTAATCAGAATATGCATCATTCCACTTAGATGGTGAACATATACCGGTTAAATTCCATGTATCTTAGCAGTGTTCAGTGTGACTAGAAAAATTCTTTTATAATTTTCCTGGTAGCTTCATGCCAGAGTGATTTCACAGACCAGTGTGCGAAAGGAGTGCAAACCAGTGAAGACTCGGAGCTGGAAGAAGTTCCTTTAGCACCACAAACAGTTGTGTGTTATGAAAACGGATGGGAAGGACCTGAGCGCCTTACCGTGGTGAGTTTAGGAGTGTGACTAGGCAGTGAAGTAGGTTTGTCGTTCCTAAAATCGCAATGCCAAGCATTTTTACATTTCTACAATGAAGCTCGTGCTTTATCTGTGTAAATGTGCATCTAGCCTTTTCAGAAGAAAGAGGTCACACTTGTGTGTTCTGTTAAACTCTTTTGGCTTGGCTTGGTGTTCATTGCATCTTTCCAGTGGTTGGGAAGGCTGATGATACTGTCTGGTTTGGAGGTAGATGCTTCCTGCTTGTTATGTCCCCACATAGTCTCTAAATCCTTCTTGTTTATGTTTAATAGCAAATTACAGTATTTTTTTTAATGATTTGTTAGAATTTGGCCACATTTAATATTTTTTTTTGGCCTCCTGCGTAAGGGAATTTTACAGGTTAGCTGAATGCTGAGCAAAGTAATTGCTGTGGAATCTGACTTTATACTGTTGAAGTTAGAGTAGAATTCAGGGGGTCTGTGTTGGACCTTCATTTAAAGGACTTACCTACTGAATACCAGAAGGCCCTTTTCTCTGAGGTGGTTTTATCTTCAGTGTTTACAACTGAAACTTCAAAGAAAACAGTATACCTGGAAGCCAGCATATTTAATGTGATCCTCCGTTTTTGTGCCTTCTAAGTTTCCCCATGACCCTGAGAGCTCTTCTTGTATAAAACAGAAAAGATGGACTGATCTGGTTCCTGGAGGCTCTCTGGGTTTCTTCATTTCATTTTGTTCTGCAGTTTAGACAAGTTAGCTGTACTGCAAAGTGTGTTTCTTCCTATATTTGCACTATTGATGAGACTAGATCATGTTAATTTGGCTTTTTTAAAAGGGTAAAGTGTAAACCGTGGTCTTTATAAGTAAGATTCAGCAGGAGGAGCGACAGCCTGATACAGTGAAAAGAGGATACTTTGGAGTTATCTATTTTTTAATTAAATTTTGGTCCTAACATTTTATTTGTGTGACTTCTTGGAGTGTCTGTTTCCTAATCTATAAAACAAGGTTGGGTTACTCTTCAGGTTGTAGTGATAACTCACCAAGTTTATAAAGCTCTTGGACCAGTCCTGCCCCCTCCAGGGGCTCTGCAGATGGGAGCTGTGTCAGCTGAGACAGGCTAAGCTGACTTGGGAAGAGACCCAGAATACAGTGCTCAGGCCAGGTGCACGTTCCTGTCTCCTGAGGGAGAAGAGGTGAGTGGGTGGTGCGGGGAGGTGGACAGCATTTCCTGAGTTAGTCACCCTCTCCTCCTGCTCTTCTATCTCGAGGGGTGCAGGCCTCCGCTTGTAGCTCGCACTGGCTCAGCACCGCTGCAGAGGAACGAGGAAGCGGAGGCCCCGCAGCTTTGGTCTTTACAGACGTCATCAGAAGTGCGTGCACACTCTCACTCACATACATTCCTCTGCTCCTGTTCAGCTGCAGGGGAGACCAGCAAAGGGGAACTGCAGTCGAGCTGCTCTGCGCCTTCCAGAACTCAGGCTCTGTTTCCAAAGCTACAAGGAAGGAGGAGAAAGCAGGCAGTAGGGACAGCTCTGTGCCCCCCGTGCCCGTGAATGATCGGTGTCTTACTGGGTTACACACACATGAAGGGGTTGTAGGAAACAGGAATTCTAAGTTTACATTTTTATTTAAATTTTATAAAATTGATTAATTGGAGGCTTTGGCCATAATGTAAACTTGAAAGATTCTGCTCTGTCATCACTGATCGTGATACAGTCTAGCATCGTCTTGCTTGGACTCCACAGTCGGTCAGCCGAATTACTCATGTTCTGGGCAGTGGACAAAACAAGGGCACTTGTGGAACTTGTCTCCTCAGGATTGTGTGTAAGGTGTCGGCTCTACTTCTGTTACACTGGCTCTTGTAAATATGTCTTTAAAACTTTAAGGAAATGATCCTGTATGCTTTTGGATCATCTTTCAGTGGATGGAAACTTGTGACTTACTGCTTTATTAATTGAAAATTGCTTTAATTTCTAGCTTAGTTAGTATTGTGCTTAATGGAAGATAAAAATCTATGATATTTAAATAACTATTCTCCTTTTTGATATGTGAACTTGCACTTTTTTAAAAAATGTATAATAGGACCTGGAATCTCAAGGGAGAGAAGAGCATGAAGAAGCAGGGATTCTAAACCCAATTGTGAAAAGGGAAGAAAAATTAGTTAAAGATGAAGGACTCCATGTTGTAAAACTGAAGGTTGAGAACCTGGAGAATGGTAAGAAAGAGTTTAAGCAAATGATAAGTCAGCATCCCTTGGGCAGGAAAAGGTTAATATCCACTGCTATCTTCATCTGAACAGTGATTGAGTTATACAGATAAGAAAAGGTTGATGCAGTGGCAGGAGCGCCGGTCTATTGGGAGTCGCAAACATTGGAATGACATTGGTGACAAAAGAAAAAAAAGGAAGCCTGTAAGTCAGCTGCTATTCGGGATTAGGGAAATAGAACAAATTACCTCCAGAAAATTCAGATGAAGGGAAAAAATTCTGTGCGTTAACTAAAGCTCGATGAGGAAATAACGGAAAGACCCCTCTTGAGACTCAGTCCTTCGACCAGCCAACCATTGTAATCAATGAGTTGTGAGGTCCTGAATATAGTCCTGTAGTTTTTCTTTGGTTTTAATACACAAAATAAATCTTTAATGTGTTCAACCATTAGTGTGGAAGTTCATTGAACCAACTCATAGTTTCAGATACACAAGGGAAGTTCAGGAATAAATTCATTTCCATCTGGATGTCTTAAAGGTACAGGTGATCAAGACCTCAGACTTAACCCCTGAATCTTATTAATTACAGAGCTGCTTACAGAGGAATCCTTTTTTTTCCACCTTAAGGTTAGTGGAACAGAAAATCATGACCTAATTGTTGCTAAAGTTAGTGTATATATATCAGTGCCTATGTATATGTATGTGTACTGAAAACAATGTAACAGTTGGAATAGAAGCTGTATTTACATCACTGGTGCCTGATGTTCAAAGAGAGATGCTGTCACATGTTGAGCTATGGAATAGAAAGTGAGGTTCTATGACCAGTTCTGTTTAGGCACCAGGAAAAGGAATAGAGCGACAGAAGACTGTCACATCTCCATGTCCTTTTTGATTTTTTCACCTGGAGTCTGTATGTAACGAACTATTGACACAAGCGAGAACATACACCAGAGTTAGTAAATGCATAGTTTTTACATATTTTGACATTTTCAATTTTTTCATTTGGAAATAATTTCACAATTATAGCAAAATATCAATACTTGCCAAGAACCACTCAAAAGTAAGTTGCATACCTCGTACCCATACTGTAAAATAATTGCATGTGCATTTTTCCAAACCAAGGGCTTTCTCTTTTATCATTCCAGGATATTTTTCAACTTTAGGAAATTTAACTTAGATACAACACATTTTTCTAATCTGCTGTCTGTATTAGAGTTTTGTCAGTTGACAGAGTACTGTCCTTTATAGCATTTTATTCTCTCCAGGATATGGTTGTTAATTACATTTGGTTGTCTCTTAAGTGTCCTTTAATCTGGAACAGCTTCACAGCCTTCTTAAAATATTTTGTGAGATTAACATTTTTGATGAATACAGCCTTTAAAAAAAAAATAGAATGTTCCTCATTTGGGGTTTATCGGAAAATTTCTCTTGATTATATTCAGGTTAATGCATCTTCTGCCACGATACTATATAAGTGATGTTGTATCCTTCTCAGGGTATGGCATCCAGAGATTTAGCTAATTTTAAGTTTAAAATAAAAGTCTTTGCACCATTCATCTACCACCCTTTATTCAGTGTACAATACCACACTAGGTATAAAAAATAAACAGAGGACCTTTTTCTCCATCTCTAAACTGGAGAACAAAATTTTTCTATCAATGTGAATCTTAAATGCAGTATATATTAAGTATATTCTGTTTGAATCCCAGAATATCAAGTATAGAAATGAAGTTTATGTATCCATCCTCATTTGGGTACTGGGAATACTAAAATTATTTAGGCTGCTGTTTTGTAAAAGATGAAAGTTGAGTTTTCCTACTTAAAAATATTGACTGCCATACAATCCCATTTTTAAAATTTGATTTCATACAGAGTGGGAAAGAGAAATACTTGCTAAAAAACAAAAAGACAAGACATCTTTGCTGGAGAGAGACAAAAAGGCAGCATTGGAAACAGGAAGATACCAAATGGAAATGTGCCAAATTCAGAGTATTGGTAGGTTAGAAGAGGAGGAAGAAAACAGACTGAAGAGAGAGATGCTGCTTGCTAAACTGCATGAAGTCGACAGAGACCTCCAAGGGTCTCAGAACCTGCAGTGTCCTCCTCTGCCATCGTTACCTGATTTGGAATCAAAAGTGTGCTCCCCAGAGAGAAGCCCCAAAACATACGTGTCCTCTGATTCCTCAGAGAGATTACCTAATGGGCATCATTTGCAGGACATCCGTCTTTTTACTGCAAACATTGATGATCAGAAACCAGTAAATATTAGAAGCCCAGCCTCTCCAAATGAGCTTACTTTCGGCAGTTATGTGCCTTCATTTGCAAGAACATCAGGGAAATTAAATCCATTTAGCCAAAAAAGTGGCTTTTTTGATTTCCAGAGAAACAGTATAGAGAAATGTGGTAGAGATAGCTTAGACTTAATCACACGAAAAGAGAGGAAGGCTCATCTGATGGAGCAGCTCTTTGGCACCACAAGCAGCAGTACTTCCTCCAGAGTCAATGACCCAGATTCTTCGGCTGCCAGCAGAGACGACTTTGACCCTCTGAGTTTTCTCCCTGGGGACAAAAGCGGCAGGTCTAGAGAACATGACGAAGATGAGGGCCTTTTCCTCAGTGAAGGAAGAAGCTTTAACCCAAATAGACACCGACTGAAACATGCAAACACTAGGTCAGCAGTAAAGGCATTCGGTTCTGGAGAAGATGAAATCGAGGAAGTAGCGCTGAGGTGACTGATCCCGGTCGCATCCCCCAGTTGCAGATGTTGAAGTATTGTAATATGCATTTATAAATACTTAGACTTTCAATATTAAAGGTCCTAAAGAGTGGTTTGTAATAGACAGATTCAGTACAAATAAGTGGATCATAATGCATCATACAGCTAGTTTGCCAACAATGAAGGAGGCTTCTTTGAATGGAAATGAAAATAGAGATGTATCTTACTTGGTTTTGACTTTTTCTTTACAAATAGGTTTTGCCTCTTAGATCAGCCATATGGGAAGTTTTACCCCATGGAGCGCATATTCATTTATTATTTTTATCCCTATTTATTTACTTATTTTTGGTCAGAACCTGAGTTAAGTACAATCTTCCCGAAGATTGTTGAACAGAAATTAAGAGCGAGAGGCTCTGTGTGGAAGTACAGCTCCCAAGTGGTGAACCAGGGCTCTGGTGCTGCTGAGAACCCTGCCCTCTATGGATGGGGCGGGAGTCCCATGCGTACATGGCATGGCTTAGCTGGAAGCAGTGACAACATTGGAATTTCCCTTTCCTCTGGAAGTAGCCACAGTTAAATGCTAACCATTTCCCATTACAAGTCCCACTAAGTCACTTTCCTAAAACTGTGCCAGCACATTAGGTGGATTCAGAGGACATTTGTCTGTTTGCATGGACAGGTGCCTGCGTGGCTCCCAGAGGCTCACACAGTGTCATCACTAGTCCCTGTCCTTGTTCCCTACACTGTGTGTATCAGTGATGGTGCGAGATTTCCTGCCCAACCACAGGGAACAAGAAATTTCATCTGATACAGAAGGATTTTCAGCTCAGTATTTTTCTAGAGTAATGAAACTTGGAAGTTTTAATACTTTTTAGATTTGCGCTACAGACAAGTCAGTGGACTGTGGTGGTATAATGCTTGTGGACGGCCTTGGGTAGCAGTGTTGAGATGTGCCTGCTGCCTTGCTGCTGGGTGGGCGGTCTCCTGCTGAAATGCTTTGGTCCTTGCTGTCTGTAGCTCACTTCAGCTGCAAAGGACCGGTGACCTTGGGTCATGCTGGGGATGATTGGCCTTTAAGAAGCAGTGATGCACCACCGACGAGCAGAGAACACTGTTCGGAGGAAGAGTGGTGGAATAGTGTGTCAGGAAGAATGAAAAAGTGTAGAATGACACTTAGCTCTAAAACAAGCTTTTTTTCCCCAAGAATTTACTGTGTATTTGCTTGTAATATGATTTCTGAAGCCGAGCATACAGAGCGATGAGGGGACTAGAGTTACTGTTTTCCCTTGAATTCTTATCAATGCTTATTACTGGATATAATTTCATAACTATTTGACAAGACTTACCTGATTAAAATATATACCACCTATCATCATCTAAATTGTGTTCCTATTATTAATTTGGAAGTGTACCTCCCAAAAGTGGTAAACTATGTTTTAAAATTTTGTTAATAAAGAGATTTTTGTGTCTAATATAAATAAGCATTTAGTATGTTGCACATCATTCTAATATGTGTACACCACAATATTACTGTAATGCAGTTTTTGATAAAATATGATGTATTGCTAATTTTGTTCACAGCTGCTAATTTTTTACCAAAACTATTCTAGTTTTTAGGTTGTTTGGTTTTAAAGCCTTTTTAAAAAGCCTTTCAGTGAAGTTTTATATCGAGGTCATTTTTATTAGTCAATTGCTTTTTTCTACCTGGTGTTTTTTTCTAGCCTCTTTCACTATATGCAACATGACAGAATTATTAAAATTAAACCTAAACTTAAAATCAAGTTTTAGACATTGTAGCATTACTGTTTTAAGCATTAAGATTGGAGATTAAAATGTTCAGAATAGATTTTTCTTCATGAACAGTGAAACATATTTTTTCTAAATGTCAAGTTAAATTTGTTTGTGCTCAGGACTCTTAATAAAAAAATTTTTTTTAAATGCTATGACTCTTTGTTTGAATGATACGTTAGGTCACATAGGAAATACAAAGCAGGAACAGAGCCTGCAGAGTTCATTTTTATTTCATTACTCACCTTCTTTTTTCCTGCCCAGTATTTTTAGTTGAAGTAGATGAATTTGCCCTAAATCAGGTTAGATCGTGTGCTAGTCTTTGCAGATAATTATAATTTTAATTAATCCTTTCACCCTTAATAGCTATCATAATGTCATATATTGCTCATAATATTAAATAGTTGTGGGTAAGGATTAAATTGAATCATAAAATAAGCCTACTTCATGGCTGACTCGCTGTTTTCCAGCCCTCCTCTCCCTCCCCTGCTGGGACTTGCCCAGCCTGGAATGCCTAGGTGGGCGTTGGCTGGGTAGAGCATGCAGGCTGCCTGATGTAAAGGGGAACGGGAAGGGAGATAGAGTGCCGAGCCACTGCAGATTTATTAGGATTCAAGAAGTTACCATAAATTGGCAAGAAAGGATCTGCCTTTAAAGCTTTTCCTTTCCACACCACAAATGCCCTGTCACTCACAGTCCCCATTTGTGTCAGTTGGAGGTGCTCTCCTTTTCATATGGAGCACGCTCACCCACTGAGTGCCTCCCTGGTGCCCCGCACTATGTTCGGTGGGCACAGAAAGTAGGCGCCAGGGCAGGCTGCCCACCCGGCACCCTCCTGCTTCCCGGTGTCCTTGGGTCCCTCAGCTGTCACTGGCCATAATGCTGCTTAGGTGGTGATGTGAGGCCAGGTGCTGGCCTCTTACACGCACTCAGTAAACATCAGCTATCACCATAGCTAATGACAAGTCTCTTTTAGGGAATGATTGGAAAAATACAGGTCTGATCTGTAGTACACTGATAGTATACTTTCCACAAAATACAAGAACAAAAAGCTGAACCTTGTAACTGCCATGAAACATCTAAATATGTTGCCTCTCAGGTCTGCACTTAGAATGTTTCTTCCTTTACTCAAATTGTGCAGTAAGATCAATGAGCTTGTTTCCTTAACCACAGAAGCACAGAAAATCTAAGCTTTGGACAAGTTCAGTGTCATAAGGACAGGCAAGAGTCAGCCTCACAGCAGAAAGGAAATGAAACCAGAATGTACCGGACTTTGTGACAGACTATGCATCCCTGGACAAGTTACAGACCTTTGTACCTCCTTCCCCAGTAAAATGGGCTATTGACAGTACCTACCTCATACCCATTAAATGAGCTGATATGTGAACAGGCTAAGGACAGTTAAATGTTCAAACTGTTGTTGCTTAGAAAGGTAATGGAAGGGCAGACATATTTGTTGAATTTCAAGCGTGTTAACTGATGTTTTTATGTATGCTCATTTAATCCACAGTTTCCTCTAATGGAGATAATACTCCCATTTCACAGTTGGGGCTAATAGATTGTAATATGTAACTGACAGAGTACAAGGGTAGCAGACTGCATTCAATAGTCAATTTAAGAAATCCAAAGAAATAAAATATTTTAGAGTTTTGCGTTAGTACTTGAAGTGGTAAGTGACAAAAACCCAAATCAAACTAGCTTAAGCAAAACAAGTAAAATTGTTTTTTGGCTTGAATTTGGAAAACTAAAAAAAGTGGTTTGGTATGAAAGTTCTAATAATAGCACTTATTCTGTGCACCTCTTAGGCCTGCTGAGTATCCTTTCCAGATAAATTCTACATATAGTAACAGTACTGCAATTGGCAGCCTTAAATCCACATCATCCCTTCAGCTGGCACCCATCTTGCTGGAGAAAACTTCCTGATAGCTCTGGTAGAAGTTTGGCTAGTTGGCAGTGTCCTACTAGGGCCTGGTGGCCTTGTGCGGGAGGAAGATGGGATCTCCACTCCTACACCTCTTCATGGAATGAGCAGAGTTTCTGTGGAATGGGGAGGCATTTTTCATTGAAGAAATTTTAGACATACAAAAAAACCATTTACTATACAGATATGCCACTGCAATAAAGTACAATAAATCATCACAATAAAAGCAAGTCACGTGAACTTTTTGGTTTCCCAGTGCATATAAAAGTTATGTCTTCGAGAGGGATTAAAGATGGCGGCGTGGGAGGAGAGATAGAGGCTTCCTCCTAAAGCTGGATACAATTAGAAATTTTAATTGGCGCAACTAATCCTGAGAGAGCAACAGGAAAGAGGAAAGCATCAGACTGCAGATGCCTGGAGAACAGAGCAGACCTCAGTGAACAGGGTAATGTACCGGAGCTGTGGCTCCACGGGACACGAGCCCCACCCCAACCCCAGCTCACCCACGGGAGGGAGACAAACGGAGCAGGGAGGGAGTGGAAGGCCTGGGACTGCTGAGTACCCAGCTCTGGAGATCTGCACTGGGAGCACAGACCTGCATTTCATGGTGCTTTCATGAGACTCGCATGACTACTGGGTTGGAAAGTTAACACAGGCAGAATTCCTGGGGAGACTGGGATTCCGGCTGCTTGTGAAAGCAGGGATCCATATCTGGCTGCTCTGGGACAAAAACTTATACCTGTGTGCCCAGCCCACTGGCTCAGGCAGTGGAGACAGGCACAGCAGCCAGGAGGCGGGGAACAGCTCTTTCCTCCCCGCAGGCACCAGTACCTCTCCCCTATGACCCCCGACATTGCTTCAGGGGCTCAGCAGCTCCAGAATATAGCCTCTGGACACTAGAGGGCGCCATATACAAACATGAAACACCAAAGGAACCTTGTCCAGAGTAAAATTGTCAATACAACTCCCGAGAAAGATTTAAATGACATGGACCTTGTGACTCTTCCTGAAAGGGAGTTCAAAATATAAATCATCAACATCCTAATGGAGGTACGGAAAGACATCCAAGAACTCAGGAATGAATTCAGGTCAGAGATCCAATCGTTAAAGAACACGATGGAGGGTATTATAAGCAGGTTGGAT